AATTTTGTTTCTTAAATTACTCGAAAACCGTTGATGTTACAAAAATTTTACAAGAATAACTTTTTTAAGACAATTTTATTACAAATCGATCGACACCTTAATCTTTAAGATCGTACGAGTATTAACTGAGATATGGCAGTTTTAGTGATACGTGACCGCCGGATATTAGTTGCAGCGCATGCTGAAAGCGGTCACGTATCACTAAAACTGCCATATCTCAGTTAATACTCGTACGATCTTAAAGATTAAGGTGTCGATCGATTTGTAATAAAATTGCCTTAAAAAAGTTATTCTTGTAAAATTTTTGTAAAATCAACGGTTTTCGAGTAATTTAAGAAACAAAATTTTAAACAGCCGCCATTTTGTTTTATGAATTTGAAAAATCGTCATAATTTTTTGTAGCTTTGTCTAGTTGTCATAAATGTTGTTGCAAAGTTTCAACTTCGTATGTTTAACCAATTTTCAGAAAAAAATTAATAAGTGAAAAAAACAAAATGGCGGCTATCTGAGTAACTAAGGACTTCCGGACAATTTAAATATGATATTTAGATATGTTTCTTACCCAGGAACAATGCCCTAAAATATTGGTAGAGAGTTCCGGGACACCCTGTATATGACATCATCCCTCACAATTTTGTGGTTCTTTCTAAAATATGTAATTATGTGTTGATAGCGTAGTTATTTAATGTAACTACGCATACACAATCCTTAAATGTACGTTTCTACTTCCTTGTTTAGAATAATCGTTTTCTTTTCCAAACAAAATCAGTATCCCCTCAAGGGGTAGCGGATTTTTATCCGCCTGGAATTATACCCCCTGGGCAAACGTGACGTCACAAACCAGGGGGTAAAATTCCGGCCGCGAACTTTTGAGTTTCGCGTCATCAGCTCGATGGATTAAACGCGGAATTAAACATATATTTTCACGGTTGTGAATTTAATCAGAACACACCAAATTATAAAAACCTAGAATGTACGGCCCAGATTTTTACCCCAGGTATTTTACCCCCCGGATTTTTACCCCCGGATTTTTACCCCCGGATTTTTACCCCCGGAATTTTACACTCTGGCCAGATATATAAATTAGTGAGAATGATTAATTATCTTCATTCAGTTTTAATTTAATAGTAAGCATTTTATTATTAAGTAGCCTATCATAATTTATTTGTAACATTAACTAATCGAACAGGTTTTTAATTTTAATTTTGAGTTTCGAGTATCAGGATTCGATCTTTGAAGCCACCAACTGTTGGTTAATATGATCAAAATAATTTATTTTTGTAAAAAAATACAACCAACTTCAAATGCTCTAAATAGAATGAAATAATTACAATGAAGTAAACTTTTGTATTAGTCAAGCTCACGTATTTTACTCCGTTTCCCTTTTAAGTCGGCGCGGCTCTATGATGATTTTTGATACAAAATTTAAAGAGGATGTCCACATTGCAGGTGACTATCTGTCACACTAAAGGTGATTATAATCTTATAGTGATATTAACGAGTATCTTTAAAAAGATTATAATGAAATAATAATGAAATAATATTTACACATTTCTAACTTGGAAAAGTAACGTTTTAATTTTGAACTAGCTTCTTTTCCTATCATAATATCAAAATAAATTATTTTCCTATTCATATAGAACATTTGTGAGTGTTATTTTCATCATGCAATCATTCTGAAGTAAACATAAAATACAAGAAAATATTTCGTTTGATATAGGCTATATAAACAAAACAGTTCAGTATGTTTTTTTTTACATATTTATGTTATTAAGCTACTATTTATTGATTTTCAAAATACACTCTCAATATTTTTTATTTTATTCATATTTGCAATTAGAGCCGCGCCAACTTGAAATACGTAAGCTTGACTAATACGAAAGTTTACTTCATTGAAATTATTTCATTCTTTTTAGAGCATTTGAAGTCGGTTGTATTTTTTTACAAAAATAAATTATTAAATAATAAAATGTTTACAATTAATTAAAAACAGAAATAAGAAAATCAATCATTCAATTTCTAAAACCGGTCAGGGGGTAAAATTCCGGGGGGTAAAAATCCGGGGGTTAAATTCCAGGGGGTAAAAATCCGGTTTTTATCGCTAATCTAATAAATTAATCACGCTCTGACTATTTTCATTAGACTTCCAAATCCGAGGGGGTAAAATTCCGGTCGCGAACAAACTTTTGGGCACTCAGGTTACTACGTCATAGTGACGTCAGCTTTGCCCAGGGCCAGGGGGTAATATTCCAGGGAAAAAAATTCCGGTTACCCCCCCCCCCTCAACCCTTCAAGTTCGTAAGACCGGGAACTAGATATTATTTTCCCCCTCTCTGTGTATGGTGGAATACAATAATTTATTTTTAAAAGATTCGGACTTTTGTGTTTATATATGAGGGAGAAACAAAAGAAAATAGTCAGTTGACAATTGAGTTAAAATTTTTTATTAATTTTCCCACAGTGGATTTCGATTCAAATCCCCTCTCAACTTATCATAACCTGAGTTGAAAAAATAATGTTTTGACCATTATTTGACTTGAAAGTCAAATTTCTCAATTTCTGTGCTCAAGCAAGTTGAGTGCTCGCAAGCACATACATTTGAGTTTCTAGTCAAATAATGGTCCTAATTTTTTGTTCAACTAGTTGAGGTACCGATAATAACATGTATTAACCGATAATGTGCAACAGATCAAAAACTACCACAGACGTAGGAATGGATTGAATTTGTCCACATTTTAACGAAACAAAGCAGCTAAATTAATGGTACCACGCACAAAATCCGCCTGGATCTGATACGACAGTCTTACAAATGAATCGGAGCGAGACAAAGAGCTAAGTTAATTAAACGGGCGTTCAAAAGGAATGGGAACTGGGAACATTAGATAATCTTCTTGGGGCTTTAATAAGCCCTCTATAGCTGTTAGCCGAGCTAAGGCGGGATATGGGGTTGTAATTGGCTGTTAGTTGGAACATTATTTGGGTTAAACTGTTAAAACGCTAACGAGAAAATATTAAAATTTATGTGCAGGAGTTTAATTTTATGTCATGATTCTCATTTTTTCAGGTTTACTATTAATTAAAAGTTAGTTTGGCAACTATTATTCATGTAGAGTAATTTGCCTAGCCTATAATAAGTTTGATGACTATTGACTATTTTTTGCTGGATTTACAATCAATCCTGCGATATAACATGTTTATCCTCTGAACGTTTTTAAAAAGTGTTACACACCGCGTACCCGCTTTTCAGTTTCGCCAAATCTTTGTTAAAATATACTTTCTTGTCCGAGTAAGTGTTAAAATGTAGCCTATATGACAACTCTTCACAACCCCAGTATGAAGAGGATTTTTCAACTATATTTCAGCTTGAAAATGAACATTTAAGTTCAAAGCCTTGGTCGCTCGACGAAAAAGACGAACAATACAACATAGGTATTTAATCTTTTTACGTACATTTACTTTATTGTGTAATATTTTGTCCGTATCCACACCGATTTCCTGGGCCAGCTGATTTAAGAGGCAGCATGTTGTCCTGTACCTCTCGAAGTATCCCTGTTCACCTCACGACCAAATTTGACCATTTCTAAATCAAGTACAACCTTGAAGTTGTTGCATTCTGCATTACACAGTCCCAGGAAAGTACTTTAATGATGCGTACGGAAGGCCTACTTTAGGACATGCACGATGAAAGCAGCGCTCTGCTGTGTAGGGATTTTGACATTGGTCTAAAACCTCACCTAGCAATTCTTAGCTTATTCGGACCCTTGCAGTTCCGTGAAGAATGATGGTATGCCTACTCGAGGTAGCGAATTCATCGTGGGACGACTACCCTGTGTGTGCATCCATCTGACTCTCAAGTGCGTGAAATCCTGCATCTTTACTGGCATCTTGGTCGGTACCTGCATTTCAGTGGCTGTCGCTGTCATGTGTTGATCATTACGGTTGAGTTTAGTGTGCCAGACATACGATGAGTCGGCTGGGATTCGGGATCTCATGGATGGCAGTCTCCATCCGCCTCAGCTTCATCATTTTTTTTATGATCCGCTTCTCCCAGTTACCCACATCTGATGATGCTGTGGCAGCGACCTTGGTGCTACTTCCATCACGAAGGAGTGTCTTTGGAAGTAAAATAAGTTCCCTTGGGTTGCTGAAGATGTTTCTTTGGGTCAATATTTTCCTTGGCAAGAGGCGTCCTGGGATCTCCTCAATATTTGCTTCAGCGATATTTTGGGGTCTCTGGTTCGGAAACACAACATTCCGGGGGTCACAAGTCGCAATGCAGACCCGTTCTCAGCATCAACGCCGCTTTCCGTAACCAAGAACAGAAGTGGCTGGCTCCTTGAGACCCAGTGCGGATACACTACCTATTAACAGCGCAATGCCCACATCAAACCCTTCAACACAACATGGGCACTCCCAGGGACTCGAAGTGAGAGTTGGCCACCCGTTCAGTCTCTTCTTGCGACAAGCAGAGAATTTCTTCGGTATATTTTATAGCCATCTAACCCCGACACAAACGGCACGGGGAAGATTCGACTAGCTAGATACATTCTATAGTAAAAGATGATAACTAATTATGGAGTAAATACTACTTTTTGTAATCGTCTGGCTGGAACTGATACCCACTCTACAAATACAAGGTCCTTCAGGTAAATATGTTTCCACGTTCCTAATTCTTTCTTCTTATTGGTTGGAACTTATTGGATCAAAATTGGCGTACTGGGTGAGTGGTAAAGCAATGGTACCAATGGTTCAGCAAAACTCTAGACATAAACACTTGAGGAGTAGGTATGTTTAATCTATCACTTAATTGTCAAACCGAGACAGAAATCTAAATATTGAACTACGAAATTGCATAGCCTGGCTAAGCCTGCCAAACTAGAAAAAGTGGTTAGGCAATTTTTATTATTTCTTGTTCTTCCTTGTTTCTGTTCCTGTTGTTCTCTTCTATTCTCTCTCTCTACTCAACTCAAGTCTGTTTGTTTGTTTAGTTAGAATAGAATTTGGTTTTGACTTTTGTTTGTGATGGAATATTGACATCAAGAGTTTATTGTCTATTGTGAGTGAGATAAAGTTTTGATTTATATGGACCGATGTTGCTTACTGGGATTTTGTTTGATTAGTGCTGCAAAGTTTAAGTATCTGTGAATCATGGAAGTAAATAAACAACCCAGCAGTACCAAAAGTGAACCCAGTGGAAAGGATAATATTTGTAGGTTATGCGCTTCAACAAACGCCAATATACCCATATTCCCTAATATGGGACCACCATTTTCCCTTAAAAGTACTAGAGGACCACCATTAGTCTGCAAAATAATGTCAAGTTTGAATATTCAGGTAAAATTACAAATTGTATTTATGATAAAAGGAAAGCTTCAATCTTACCTGGGCTAAAGTATCTAAGTTAGGCCTACATAACTGGTTAGTGATCCATTGGCAAAAATTCATTGATGTCCGCAAATATGAAAAGTTTAAGATGGTTTAAGTTTAGTTAGGCCTAACTTAACTTATCCATTGACTCACTATACCTATTTATTCGATAATATGATGGGATCCAGATAGGCCTAACTTATATAGCCTAACTTAGAGGGTGATTAGAGGCGAAGCCCCTTCGAAAGTAGAATCCAAGTCTCATTATTTACCATTCTGATTCCATAGCTTCAGTGAGTGTAAACGTAAGTTAACTTAGTTAACTAACCTCTGCTTGACATTCCCTTAATAGCACAGGCCCCCCTAGATGACATGGAATTTTGTGTGACACGATTTTACACAATATTTAGGCCTATGCACTGTTACATGCGGGTTGACTTTCATCAGGACTCTAAAATAAGTTACCGAATGAAAAAATTGAACTTTCGATACATCGATTATTTAATTCGATACGGTATATTAAGTTTGGTTGGTTAGTTTAACCTAACCTAACTTTACATGCAGTAATAAATGTATAGGCCTATATATCTAATATGCCAGAGGGGGGCCGTCACCTCCTTTGCTCCTCCCCCCTGGAAGTGTCAATTATTGCCCAAAACCAGACTTTGGCCGGTTCCAATTGCCTAAGTGGTAGGTAAGGTTGTATACATAATGTAGGCTACTGTAATAAGAGCCAACTATTTGCAATATGTGTAAACGAAAGGAATTCAGGATAATGCAGGCGTCTGTAGCCTTCCGCCCATCTTCTAAGTAGAAGGTGTACAGTTTGGAGTGGACTGAGAGGTTATCACACCCTCGAGTGTAGCCTACAGTAACGCCAAATGGCAATAGTATCTGATCTCACAGTAGGTACTTGATTGTCAAATTCCAAAATTGGAATGAATTCAAGACTTTTTATGTAGGCTATATATATTGTAATAATGTTACCATGAGCAGACTTCTGAGTTTTTTACCTTTTGACATTCACTATTCATTGATTGAACTAAGTTTAAAATTTCTTTAAACAGTTCATGTTTGTCGTTTTATCCATGTGTAAAAACCTTATCTTTTTATTACCTATTTAACGTCAACCTTTGGTCAGAGATAGCATTCTTAACTAAGCCCAATAAAAAATGGTGTCGATAAAGAACACTAATTATCCTAAATGTTTTTTTCCTATAGGTTTTGCTGTTGGATCTGTAAGGTCTGTAGGTTTTGTTATGTAGCAAAATTGGTTTGAGGCTTCATGATTTTGGTATAAGTACGGTAGTCAAAATTAAGTAGTAAAAAGCTTAAGGTAAAAGGTTTTTTGAAGCAGCACTTTGCAGTGTCTGGTACGTTTTAATGTCGGTGAAGCTAGTTTTGCTGAGATTGCCATTTTTAATATTGGCTTATAGCTCTATACTGCACACTGAACTTGGAATGGAGAATATGTCACTTTCATTATGTTCACTTCTTAAAATTTAGAACTTATATTCCTTCTTCCTTACACTGTCTGTGACCGTTGTCGGGATATCAAATTCATTCTACTCATTTTACTTTTCATCCCTACAGTTGAGAAGTGGTGATGGCTTGCCTACAAACATCTGTCAAGACTGTGCTGCCAAAGTCGAGTCTACGTATGAGTTCCTGCGGCTCTGTGAGGTGTCAGACTCTTTTCTGCGACAGTATTTGGACTTTGGCCTTCAGTTATCGTGGATCTTTCGATACAGCGAACTTTTACAAATGATTGATCATGTAGAGGAAGAATCTAACGACGACTTATAATGGCTGGTTGTCCATTGTTATGTATATATGTGATATTTATGATAAACTTACCTGCAGTTCCCATTTAACAGAGTACAGTAATGACTTTAGCTATGTTTTAATATTTTAAGTGTAAATTTTGTAAATTAAACTCGTTATACTTTTGAGTTCTTGTGTTGATTTTATTTGTGTGTTACCGGTACCTTAAGTGTTTCTAATGGGACAAATACTTGTCTTTTTGAAAGAGTCCATTACACACATTTTAATCACCTAACATTGCTTCAAGTACAACGGCTCGCTTCCCTACAAAGTACAATAATAATCAACAACAACTGACATCATCGCCCATCAAATATTGAACAATAAAAAATGCCTTGGACTGTTACATAGTTACACACTTTATTTGGCAGGAAATGTTCGCTTTGTTTGTTTACCAAGTTTCATGTTCAAAATATTAGCTTGCTAGTCAGACCTTAACCCTTCCTGGATGGGTGACGGATATATCCGCCTAAGTCTTTGGCGATAAAGGCGGGTGGCTTATGGTTTTTGATGTTCCGGACGGGAAGCGGATATATCCGCCTTCTCTTCAGACAGACTGGCAGGTGCTTGAGCAGTAACCAGATATTTTCCGGTACCAAAAGGCGCCACTTTCCTCTCTCCCGCACTCCCCCTTCTCTCCCCTCTCCCGCGCACCCCCACACCACTCCTACCCTCCCCCCTCAACGTTTCGCGCTCAACACTACGTTGTCTTTATTTATTGTTTTCATATTGTTCTTTATTTATTGCCTAACGTTGTCATGGTCATATCTTCAAAGACGGGTGCCGGATATATCCGCTGCTTTTCTACTCATCCGCGGACGGGTAGCGGATATATCCGCACAGTTAAAAATGAGTAAAAAATTATTTTGACAGTATGAAGTGTTCCATTGTGTTTATTTTATGTGTATTTGTACAACAAAACACAAATAACGAAAATTAATTTTTATTTTTTCCTATAGTTTTTTATCTGTTCTATGTCACAATTTCTCCCGTCCAGAAAGGGTTAAAGGTTATCAAAATTTGGGTACTTTAGTACCACACTTCATAGTAATAACCTAACCTAAGGGTGGTCGATTCTAGGAGGATTTTATTATTTAAAATCTTATTATTATTATCGAAATAAAAAAAAAAAAATTTTTGAAATCGATCACCACTTTACCATCTTTTTTGTATATTTACCGTCTTGTGAGTACAGTAACAGTATAAGCATAAATATATGTTTTAAGTGATATAAGATGTTTCTTATATTTATTTACTTTCTGTAAATTTAATAACACGTACAATGCTGATCAAGAAGTTATTTATTATTTAAAATAATTAAAATCTTATTTGAAAGTTTATTTATTGGTGTGGTCAGTACAACCAAAGTACTGTTTACTGAGTTGCATGTTAAAAATATTAGCAGTTGTGCTTGTCGGACATTTCAGTTATCAAAATTTAAATTGCCAAAACAATAACAGAAACCCTGTCACTATTGTTTGGATGCAAGTCCTCTTGTAGTTTCTTCAAAATGTTGTGTATCAATGGTGAACATAAAAGGAAATTAAAAAGACTTATCATTATTAAAACAATATGTTGTATTTGTTTATATTTTTTCAATTACCAAGAAATATAGCAGATGAAGATTTGTGAAACCTCAGGTAAAGTTTTGGGATGTAAACCTCGAACAAAAAAAAACTTTTTTTAGGCGGTGAAAGGTTAACACATTTGGAATCACCTAAAAGTTTTAATGAAATGAATTCATACATTATTATCACTAATTTAGTTTAATTCTTTTTGGAGGAGGATATAACATCCCCATATTGAAAATCATTATATTTATTTATTATATATCAATATTTAAATACGTAATCAATAATAATTTAAAATAGGCTTATCTGTTATGAAAAATATTATATAGCTTTAAATCTTACAAATAAAATGTTCTATTGATCTCTTGGGCCTAAACAATAAATTTATCACAGATCTCAATTCATATAGTAAGTCATGGTAATATTACAGTAACAATAATAAACTTAACAAGGCAATTTATAAATTTGAAGAAATCACGTTACTCTAACATCTAACAACAATATACAACAATTCAGAAAGATTTGATAGGCACATTAACACTTGACACTTAGGAGAACTGGGTACTTTACTACTTGTTAAATTCTATTCTTTTCAATTGATGTGATATGGAACGGCTCTTATTTCACTGTGAATATCTTGATGGAATTACGTTCGATAATAGACTTGGTTAGTCTTTCTGAATTGCTGCATCTTTTAGGAATGGTAAATTTGGTAATGCTGGTGGATAACAGTTTTGGCAATCAGTTTGCTAGCTCTTTTTGATCTTCTGGCCAGCCTGGAGGGCCTGATCCAAGTCCCGGATCAGATCTTCTACAGACTCCAGTCCGATGGAGAGACGGACTAGGTTGCTTGTGATGCCGAGCTGCTTCCTGACATCAGCTGGGACTGACGCATGAGTCATCAGCTCTCTGGAACAACAGAATAAACGTTAACACACCAATATACCAATGTGTCATGAAAGTAGAATATCAATGATTCAAAAGCATTACAATTGTTATAAACATTTTCACAATGTTTAGTAGCAAACTTAAACAGCTGCAGTGTGTTTCGAAACAAATGTTCATAACAACCCAAATAATGTAGTTTTTTTTTTTTTTTTATTGGATCAAAACATTTTGATGTTTTTGACTGTTACTCATTACAACAGAAACAACAATTCGCAAAAAGTTATCATTTATTTACAGCACTTTTTAAGGTGTTTGCAAACAAAATTTAAAACTGGTGTGAATAAGGCTTTACAGCGACAACTCGACCACATAAACACAACCCCAGACACAGAATGAATGCTTCCTTGCACAACTTTAACCTAACAAAATATCACTCACGGATGGTCAGCCAGACTCTCGTAGCCGCCCAGGCTCTCCGCCAGTGTGATGACCTTGAGAGCTGAGAGGAAGGCTTTGGTCTCGTCTAGTCCTCCACGGACGTACACTGAGAGCATTCCACTACAGCCAGACCAGACTCTACGCGCCACCTCGTGTTGAGGATGGGAAGGCAGTCCTGCCAACATAAACTTCTTTATACCATTTATTTTATACTACATGGATGTATGACGAATGTGAGTGAACAAATTAAGCAGTGGTATAAGGAACGAGTACAGTACCAGCCAACATTGCCTTGCATAACGGTGTTTGTAGGCAATCTTTTTACACTTCTGGTTACATAGCTATTTTAACATTTGAAGATTCAAAAAAATGTTGTCTTAAATTATACTTTCTACATATATGTTTTGAGTTTCTAATATTTTACGCAGAGACAATCAACTGCCCTAAATATTATTGCAGTCTACACAAGCTATATTACAAGGTCTCTCTTACTGTTCATTGTTTTCTTCACATATTGCCTCGTATAGCTGGCTAGTAAAAGTATGTTACAGGATACCAATCAATGTTTAAAAAATTCAACGGTAAAATTTAAGAGTATGTGCCATTAGATTAGATAAATATATGATCAGGACAGTGACCGGGAATATGTTGACAGAGATAAAGAAAAAGCAGGAGGACTAACTGCATAGCATAGCAGTAATGAAAACCAAGAGAATGGGAAGGAGAGCAATGTTTTTCCCAGATTTAATATAGCTTATCCCACAAACTTAAACTTGGAAACTTTTAACTCTGGGGTGCCAATTTCGTAAGCAATATAACTCAATGATCCTTGCAAAAACTCTTTTCTTTTATTTTTCTTGCCTTGATAAAATGGGTACCAATTTCGTAAGCAATATAACTCAATGATCCCCTACACAAACCTTTTTTTCTTTTATTTTTCTTGCCTTGATAAAATTTTAATCAACTGAGTATGATTATGATTTACACCAAGACTTTGAATTCTGGTACTTTATATAAAAGCAGATGTTGAGTACCTGGATGCATGACTTTCTCCACTAATGGATGACTTTCCAAGAACTCAGCGACAGCGAGAGAGTTCTTCATGTGTTGTTCCATTCTCAGTTTAAGAGTCTTAAGACTACGAAGCACCAGGTAGCAGTCGAACGGAGAAGGAACGATGCCCATAGCTACAATAAAACAAGTGTTTAGTGTGTTTTTGACCACGAAGCACCAGGTAGCATTCGAACGGAGAAGGAACGATGCCCATAGCTACAATCAAAGAAGTGTTTTGTGTGTTTTTCTTTTTTCAAAGGTCATGGAGCAAAGATTTACTTATACTTAAGTCATGGCATTCCAAAGACAAGTAACAACTAAAGAGTGATCATTGTAGGAGTAGCTATAAAATGATTTAAAAAAGGTAAATAGCTTATGTTATTATTGCTATAGTTTTGTTTTGAATTTAACATTTGGAAATGCTACAAGACTTTTTATCTACACTTTTAAGATTACTTGACTTAGATTAACAGTAAATTAACTGTGTTGTTGTCATTGAATACAGAATACAAAAGTCATATCAGTATTTAGACCCTGTAAAAAGGTATCAAAATATTTTAGCCTACCCATACAGAAGCACACTTTCAGTGTTCTTTGAATACCAAAATGGTGTCATAACTGCACCAACCTAAGGACTGTTAAATTTATACAAAATGTACACATCAATTTTAGATATATAGAAGACCTTTCATACTAACCATTCTGTAAGAACTTGAGTCTATCATAATAACCATCATTGTTTGTAGTGACGGCCCCCATCACAACATCAGAATGTCCGTTCAGATATTTGGTAGCCGAGTAGACAACTATGTCAGCTCCGAGGGCTAGAGGTTTCTGAAACAGCCACAAATAAACGTAAAAATATCTGTCTGAGAAGAGAAAATCCAAAAAAAAAGGCAACAGATTTATTAGTTTAGTATGGACACCGGAGCAAGAAAATAATTTGTTTAAATAAATAACGAATATTGAATCTTTTCATCACATACAATCTCGATTAAATCCGTTTCATTGTAGTGTTTTCTCCAATTTCATCAGAAAGGCGAACTACAAAGGTTTTGTGTAAAACCCTACTGTTTACACCATGATTATAGAATAATAATAGTTTGTTATGATTTTAAAAATCATGCTGATTTTATCAATTATTTTATGTTTATAAAGAATTATTTAATCTTTACTCAGAAAAAAATAGCCCAAAAGTCTAGCCCATTACAGATTGATTGAATTCAAAGTAGATATTATAGGAAAATAAACATTACATGACTTCCTGCAAAGTATTACATATTTTATTGATTATAAAACTAGCTGTTTCTTATCCAGGCTCATTCATTAGATGCCAATCTCCGAAAATAGTTGGGTTAAAAACTTGAATACTCGAACAGAACCGGTATGGATCTTAAACATAAAGAAATGGCCCGAATCCTATACTTATAGCATAACATATGGTTTAAACAGTTCTATAAACAATGTTAAATAATATTTACTTTTGGGCCAGTACCATCATTTGTTTATGTTTATGATACATATGTTCTAGTTTTCGTGGTTAAAAACTATCAAAAAGCTACTTTCGTATATCTGCATCGAACCAGAACTAACTTCTGATTAATGAACAAGCACTATGACCACTCAGCAACCAAGATAAGCTATATAACCTTAGGCTTAGGCTAACACACCTGGAAGTAGGACGTAAGAAACGTATTGTCAACTACGAAGATAATGTCTTTGTTGTACGCTTTGATGAGACTTGCGATTCGAGGGATGTCCATCACCTTCAGTAGGGGATTGGTGGGACTCTCTACCCACACCAGCTAAAAGCAGAAAACACACTTTAATATATGTTCTCAAGGGAAAGGTCTAAACTCTGGTCTTGTTTCTAACATCAATCTTTTATTAGATTATCAAAGACAGCAAAATGAAAATGCCAATTAGGTCCAGAATGTCCAGAAACTATTCTGACTAAATAACTACGTCAAAGTGTAGAGGTCGTGCGGAACGAGGTGAAGCCTGAGATTTTCGGTGGGAACGTTCTAAAGCGGGGAAATCCATGGTGGGGGTAGGAGACGAGTCGATCGTCGCCTCGCATAGCGACACTTCTCCTGCCACACCACTATTCCCCCCCAAAGCTTCACCTCGTTCCGTACGACCTCTAATAGTGTAGTGAAGACATTTTGATCTTTGCCTATATTTAAACTATCTCATAGCTTTGAATTTTAACCAAAACTAACCTTAGTGTTCGGTTGGAGATGTTGACAGAACTTTTCAGCATCCACTCCTTCAGCAAAGGTTGTAGAAATGTTGAACCTTTGAGCAACGCTTCTGAACAATCTAAAACAATATTCAAAAATCTGTAATCCCAAAGTAACCTTGTTCAAAATGTTATTTAACATCAACCAGTTGTTCACAAGGCCTAAGGTAAAGAGCAAAAAATTTAGCTTATCAATATATTATTTATGAAAAATCCTCAAGTATTGGAGCGACACGCAGCTGTACAGATAAGTAAGTAATTCAAACACTACACACTACAACTATTACTAACAGCAGTTATAAGACTGTTATGAGATAATGGTTTAATTCAGTTTGACCTTTGTTTGACTTAGTAAAGCATAGGTTTAGTTAATACAATTGTTCCAAATGGCAGTATGGGCTATTAATTAACAGCTGTGTCCAAGGAACATGTCGGTCTTAGTGACTAACAAAGATCATGCCACTTATCCTACACTCATCTCAATTCATACTTTGCTCAAAATACCAACATTCTTATCATCCCCATTTTATATTAAAGTGTATACTTCTTTTAATTCTATTAATTCTTTGGATCTTTGATTCAAATTAAAGGAAAGTAGTGAATAAATTGTGTTAACACTAGAAGTGGCCATGGAACCAATAGCAAAAACCATGAGCAGGATTTACCAGTCCATAAATTTGGTCACTGCAACAAAAAAATCACCTTAAAGTGAGTAGCATGTATTTTGCAATCAAATTTTAAACAATTCTCAACTATCTTTCAATTTTATATCAACTGTTCTGCAGTTACATAACAAAGTAATAATGGCTGGAAATTGATTATAACTCCCCACTCAGTAGCAGGGATATATTTATTTTCCAGAACAAATATGAATGACTATATACTATACATTAGTTTGTTGTATAATTAATTAGCACTTAATTTTCCGGAGGTCCCAAAAACTCCTTTATGGGGAAGTTGCCACCCCTAGACCCCTGGGGAAGTTGCCCCCTTACTCGTGTAATTTTCATCTTTAAAAGTTGCAGTTATACAGCTGTTGAAAAAATAACTTTAAGAGCAAAATCTTGATTTGAAAGGGTATCTAAATGTTTGAATACTGGTGTTTTTTTTGGGGTTTTAATAACTGGCCAATCGAGTCTTTCACAAGACATAATTAGATGTAGTCTGAGTTACAACAATGAATAAAAACCCTTTAAGAAGCGCAATGCCTTTATTAAAAATTCAGTCTGGGAATATTTGAATATCGGATAGTTCCCATGGCGGCCGCTAGGTAGACTATCGGGAGCGCGTGGCCAAGTCAGCTGACAGAATGAGAGAGAGTAAGACAAAGAATCAGCTTAGAGAGAGTAGCGCGGCCGCCACACGAGCGATCGTAAAATTCCAGTCTGACTAGCATTTCACTATTTAAAGGGATTGTATTCATTGGTTACATTCCATTCATTTCAAAATAGAATCATGTAATTGATCATTTAAAGAGGAAAACCCTGCTGACCTAGTTAGTTTTGCCATTGACTAGCAACACAATTTTCTCATGCCATTTAAACATTGGACATATAGTGGGCTCCAATGTACCGGTATCGGCTAATTATTACTAAATATTTATTATCATTTTGGTGCTATACCACTGGTTTATGTTTATAAGTATAAGTGATAACTAACTCCTATAGGGCTTGTTAGAGGATGAAAACCCAAAAGTATATTTGATTTGTTATCATTTGATTATCCAAAAACGTTGGTATACACCTAAAATTACAAGTCTTAAATGATGGCAATGGATATATAGGAAGAGAATAGGATGAATTTGGACCCCAAGATTTGTTTCTTATAATTTTATTTTATACTGTAATGACAAATCTTTAAAAATATTAAGAGTTCAGAATGGATTTATTTAAAGAATAAAATGAATTAGTAAAACTGAAAGAAAAGCCAACTGAAATAGGTGCAAGTAATTCAAATGTTCAAATACTTCTTTGAACACTTAAAACAAATCCACTGGGCAAACTCAAATTTTGAATTTGGCCAAACATGACCTACCACGTATTCTTCTATTGTCAAGTTTTTTTAGAAACAACAATTAAGTTACATAACTGATAGGAGATGAACCGATGATTGTACTCTATGAATAAACAAACAGCAAGTTATGGCTTGGGTCTTATCTTTAAATAAACATTCTGTCTTATCAAAGGTTATTTTTATCTGAATGAAGAGGTTAAAAGTGTGACTGGCTTTGAGGTTATCATATGTCAGATGAAACACGAGTTTGCACGTAATATCAACACAACGATTATGCATCCATTTAGATTACAAGACCACAAATCTACTATATCAACCATAAACCTTGACATTTTTATTGATTGTGACATTTTATCTCCATGACATTCACTAAGTGAATTTAGCAGTCCCTGGATTAAAATGTAATTTTTTTGCCAGCAATGTTAGGAATTCTACAAGTTCCCGCTTGTGACTTAAAATTTTTACTGATAAACTTTTCTTTTTAAAACTATTTGTTTCATTAATAAAAAACAACTTACTAGCGGAAGATGATCAAAATTATTGCACAATGGGTAACAGGACTGCCTTACATCAATCATGGAAACAAGTAACATTAACAATACACCAGAATACAAAATTACGTATTTGTTCTTCTAAAGTGAGAACTACTTATATTCTTTAAAATTAAGCTTTGTCTATTTTCCTTTAAGATCTGTGGGACCACTTTTATAGAGGAACAAAACTGAAACCCTAATTACTATATACTTCTGAGGTTGTATGAGTCTAATGATACATTTTTTGCCAGCTTTTTTTACCTTTTATTCTTTGACCGATCTTATATGTCAGATTACTGTTCTAACTCTCTTTAGAATCTTAATGAATTCTTGAGCACCATTTTAGGAACACATGCATCTATGTTTTTTTTAGGTGCCTAGATATTAGAGTGGAAAAAAACATGTCATAGACGAAATCTGAGATATTGCTCTTTAAGAAAAGTAGAGACTGGGAATAACGCTGAACAACTTTAACTCTTGAATCTTAACTCTCTGAATAACTTAACTTAACTGGTGAGTTTGCAATACACATAGAATCAGAGGGTCAGCACTGAGAACCTGGTCAGCTGATGAGGAAGAAAAAACTGGAGCATAGAAAGCTTATTCATTCAATCATTCATTAGGTGATGGAAAATAAGGCAGCTGAGCTGAAACACTAAGACAATGCTAAGAGGTGAAACGCCCAACTGATCATTAAGTTATATTGAAAGGCGGTCCTGTGATCAGAAACAGGACAAGAAGGAAATAAAGGAGAGAGTTTGTTTAGTTGGTCACCAAAAAAATGGTTAAGAGAGGCAGGCCCCTAGCACCTAAAGCATTGGTTGGCAGATTTTTTCCCTTCTTCAAAAAACAACAGAATGATTTTTTAATCACACTATAATTCTTAAAACCAACAGTTAACAGTTTGGTTTACCTGCCAGTGCCTCCGTAGATGTCGTCCACGCTGAGCATGTGGTCACCTGCGCTCAGCAGGCTGACAATGGCGGTGGTCGCCCCCAGACCCGAGGAGTAGCACAGGCCGTACTTGGCATCATCTAGAGACGCCAGACATCGCTGTAGACATGTGCGGGTAGGGTTGCCGCTACGAGAGTACTCGTATTGCTATAGACAAAAGACTTTGTGAGGGACGAGGTTCTGAAGGTTAATGACTATAATATTTTATTGTGGCTGACAATTCTTCTTCAGTCTGTTCAATCGTTGCAAAAGGTTACACCGCCCTCCATCGAAAATTCACCAATGAGTTAAATATTATTTCAGTTGTTACTGGTATAACAAATTTGTATTTTAGCATTTGAGAATATAGTAGGCTAACTAAACATTTTCACAAAAGCTGTTAAAATGTTGAAAAAAAATTGTAATTATTGGCGAAAAAGGAGGATGGTCTTTAAATAATTTAACCTTTTAATCGACTGGTTAAAATATATCAAAAAATTAAACACGTCTAGAGTGGGCATGTAACTATATTATTTTGTTCAAAGTGAAGATAGAAGGTATAGTCCCCAAAACTAATCTAACTTGGTAGTAGCACTCCTAAAATACAATCTTAGGTGTGTACAGTATATTAATTTTAAGGCTAAAAAAGTACATTAGAAAATCAGAAACAAGACTCTAGATAGATAAAACACTTTATTCCAAACCATCTGAATAACAAATATACTCCACAAGAAACATTCAGTTTTTACATAAATTTAAATTTATGAGCCTTGGAAAGTCTTTGAATTAGACATTTTACCGCAAAAATTTGTTAAATAATTGTTAGGTCCCTGCAAATTTTACACCTGTCGCAAATCAAAAGTTGAAATTTTTCAATGCTATAAGATGTATCGTATTATAACTAGGTAAAATATATTTTTTTATACCAACCTCAAAATCCGCAGGGCCGTACTGCTTGAAAGTCGTAGAGAGTGAGATGGGAGGAACGACAGCCATACTCTTCCATTGTTCTGCTTCAGACCCTGCATGGATTGCTTTGGTCGCAAAGTGCAAGTCCTTCTTGCGATATCCATTTTCATTGGTCGACATCTACACCAACATAAACATCTGACTTGTAATAATATAAATTCAGAGTTCCATTAAATATTTATAATCAAGCTTCAGAATGTCAACATTTACTTATTCAAAATTTTTAATTTTAGTGGTGTTTTTTTTTTAGCTAGTGTATATAAAATGTAACCATACAAAATAAAACCTTTTTTAACCCTAGATTAACGGTATTTTAATCCACAACATTAAAACATTAATATTTTACTGGATTTGTTTTTATCTCTAGATTAAATTCTCCATAAAAAAAGGCAAAAAAAATATTTACCAGCAAAATATTGCTACTGTACTTTGTAAATTACCTAGCTTTAAAATAAGCAGTCAATAAGCAGTATACACAAAACAATTTAATTTGAAATTTTGGGGAATAATTTTAGAATTAAACTACACACTGATCAAACATTTTTTTTACGTACATTATGACATTTTTCTTTTTTTTCTATAGGGTTTCAACAGTTACTCAACAGTAACCTAGTTATACAAATTACATTACCTATTGAAGCGAAAATACTAGTATCATTTTTGAGAATTTAACTATTTTTGTGTATGCCTACTAATGAAATGGATTTTATAAATATACAATATAATATAAAGGGTAAGTCTTAGCGTACCTGTAAAATAAAAAGACACCTCAATAAAAGCTGGTTCAAAGAACCTAATGACTCACTCTTTATAAGCTGCTAAACTCGTCATTACTATAAATAGTGTGTACTGTATGGTTTCAATTGGAATTCTGAATATTCAGGAGTGAATAAATAGATTAATCCATTGTTCTACTAGACCATTACATGACATCATTTCCAATGACCACGAAAACTCACCATACCTTGTATTGGCATCATTCAAGGACAAAATTGTCTTCTAAACCGAAATATCACAAAAATTATGTAAACATAAAATGTAACATCACAAAAGATGGGAAAGCAATTCAAATGTTGATCAAGTCAGGGATGACTTTGCACTTTGTTGACTAGACTTCTGCAGTAAAACTGTAAAGTAGTTTTTTTTTACTGGAACATTTCCCAGCTAAATTGGTTTTGTTGAAAAAATATAACCTCTTGTGTTTTAGTTCTGAAATATAAAATAATATGCATATTTTTTCAGGATATAAAAATAGCCTATTTTAAATAACTGAGCACTTGTAAATTTTTGAATCTTCAATTTAGAGTATGATGCTGAATAAGGGATAACAATAAGATTCTGTACCTCAATTCAATATTTTAAACCAAAATATATTTTGTGTACAGTCAAAATTTCTTTTTTAAAACTATCTGTGGATATATTTGTAAATGGGGGGGGGGGGGGGGAATTAATGATTTGTATAGGACTATACTCAAATTATTCATTACCATTATTATATAATAATTACTTAAGTTACGTAACGGCAATCAGGGAAAACCTGGGTATCTGAGTTGGATAAAACAACCATCATTAAGATTGAATAACAAACTCAGGTCTGTTGGTTCTTTAGGATTTATGCTATGTGTTTACAGGTGGTCTGACATTGGTTGGGAATAAGTAAAAATTAAAGTATCCTAAACTTAGATATCTTGATAGGCAAGCATGTTTCTTAAAAATCTTTTTCTCAGCTTGTGTGCATCGCAGGGAAAATCTTCGCACTGTTAGAAAAGAAAGGCATTTTCCTGTAGATGTGCATAATCCCTTTATACATTTAAATAGACTAAAAAATAAGCACAAAAAAAAATTTAATTTTTTTTTATTAACATGAGTCGTATGGGTTGTCATGCAGGTGACGAAATGACAACGAAATAACTTATAAACAGAAAATCTAAACGAATAAATGGAATAAATTCCAATCGCGTGTTTTATTTACAGCGTGGGGAGAAAATAAAGTCTGTACATTACACATTTTTGGTAAAGTTTTCAACCACTGCACGACATCTAGCAGGCCTACTATTTATTTTACAAATAAATTTCTTAAATCTAACACAAAAATTGGTAAAAAACTTAAGTTAGATGGTATTTTAATGTGCCAATACTGTAATATATCAAATCGAAGTGAAGTAAAAACTAAACAGCAAGCAGACGAGAAAGTCTAGTAGGGTACCTTAAATAGGCCTAAATTTATGTTTTGGAATTATTAATTAAACAATTTTATAAAGTGTGTTTACTAATTTTTTCATCAATTATGACATGTTTAAAGAAATGCATGGACCTCTAACAAAACCATCCTTGCAAAATTCTATTATTTTCTAGTACCGAGGCTGGAATATCCATATTAAGAACAATAAGAACAACCTTTTTCAAAATACAATTTGGATCTCAATTTCCTAAAAAATTATTCCATAAAACACCCTGCACTAACATGCATAACTTTTGTTAGGTATATGTTGAAACCAATTCAAACTATTAAACAACTAACTATACAAATACATCAACAACAATTAATTCATCATTGGCATTTAAAAATACCGATATGTCTAATTATACAAATTAAGCCAGAGAAAAACATAAAAATACAATACCAAACATAATAGTTTACATACCTTGTGCCCTAACCTAGCACACAGTCACACACGTGTATTGAATGACAGCAGACAGACGACAGAAGATCGATACGGCACTAGCGTTACTAGCACACGATTGGTTGTAGCTGATTGTGGATTCCCGTCTGCAAAGAGAAATAGGTCGCCCAGTCAGCTGATTTATACTAAGGCAAACAGCGATGCTCCCTAGTCCCTACCTCAGCGAAAAATTTCCCTCAAAACTGTTTAATTAAAAATGCAAACGTGGTTTATTAAACTCACATTTACATAGTTTTACCAGAACAAGAAGTGGACTGATATTTGAATATTCTCATTTCAAGCATTTATTTACTAATCGTAGTATTTATTGTAAACTTTATTTTGTAAATAGTTTTAGTGTTGTTGGCAAACCTAGATTACATGTCCGTGTTTCCGATAACTTGCAAACAGCCCAAAGGCCAGGAGTGACGTAATAATTCCAGTCATTGTCATTATCGGTTCCAGTAAAATTTAACTTGTATTTTCCTGGTTGTACTTTCAAAACAGCGTCCAAGTACATTTAGAAATCTGTATAATTTATTATACTGTATTAATATAAAAAAAATTCAATATTTATGTTTAAGTAAATTCAAAAACACCAAACTGAATTTAATATATTCCTTTTGGTTGAAATATGTTGTGCAATATGTGCTTCATATAGCTAACAAGAAAATTAAAACTAATCAATTTGGAAACTACTGTATTTATTTGAGCAATTATTTTGTATTTCATGTCGGTATACATAAGTTGTACTTTCCTGGAATGGGCCACTGTCGACCTTAAAATTATGAGTCATATCACATTTGCTCTAGCTCTGAACATTAGTAGAAACATTAAACTTTGAGACCATTTTACTCAAAAATTCGTTGTTCTAGGCTGAGTTCATTTCCTTGGCTGTGGCGTGTATATTTAGTCGATTTAATACTATTTTGTTTCTAAATTAATTCTAGTTATTATTGCCTATTTATAAATCATCCAGAAGCCATTATCATCATTCTGCAATGTGCTTGTATTCTTTTAGTATATTCAAACACTTATAAAATAAAAAATAGTATAAGTAGTAAAGATATACCTATTTTAGCTGACTCAGAGAATCATCTCTTTTTCCCTTAGAATATTTATCTGTCTATTTTTGAACAACTGTTTTTCCAATGGAAATGATGCAGCACAAAAAGTTTTTCAGTAGCATGCTTTCATGAAGAAAGAAAGGTTGAAAATCAAACTCTGGTCATAATGTTGTCAACTGGCTTAATTGTTGTCATTGAATTCAAATTAACCTCTGAAGATCTTAGACCAAAACTCAAAATAGTTTTAAAATGCAATAGAGTAATTAGTACAAATACAATACAGCGGGGTTCTCAACCTTTTTTGCTACAAAACCCCCTTAAAATCCTGAATTTTTCTCACTCTCCCCATTAAGCTTATACATATTTAGTTGCAGCATTCTAATCTCCCTGTCTCATTAGTTAATTATACTCTTTTTTCATATTTAAGTTTTTATATGGCTACTCAATCTCAGATTAATTATATATTTTAGCCCTTTTAGCGAATTTCCCATATAGGGAATAAGCTATTACCGTAGTACTCACGGTAAGACCTGGACCCGGGACCGATTTTTTTTTCGTTTTGAGGTCCCTAGAGGTCAAAAACACCATCCGTTCAAATTCATATATATATATATATATATATATATATATATTTATATATATATATATTTATATATATATATATATGTGTCCGTTAGCGCGATAACTCGAGCAAAAATGATCCGATTTTGATGAAATTTGGTACAAACGTGTAAACCTACGTTTATTCAAACGAGATCGCGAACCAGCATGATCGGACCATGGGAACGGGGGTTTATGGGGGCTTTTATGGGGAAAAAATGGGTTTTTCCCATTTTTGACCCAAAAAACATAAAATTTTGCAATTTCTTTTGTAACTATTTTGTAGAGCTTAAAAAAACAAATAATTTAGTATATTGAAGCGTTATAATGCGCCTAATGGTTACGGAGAAAATTCCAAAAAATTGTAAATTTAAAATTCCCATGTTATTCTTATGGAGAATAAGTAAACTGTTGTAGTTTGCTTGTTTATAAACATATTTTGCCCAAATTTGGAAAATGTTTTTATTTCTTACTAACTATTAACATTTTACTTAAAAAACACTTTTACCCTCCCTGTTGCAGCAAACCTAAGTATGTTTTAAACTGATTCTATTTAAATAGGGAATAAATGTGATAATTTTAAGGAGACATTTTAGTGTAAATCCATTCAGGGAAATGGAAATTCGCTTAGTCTGCAGGTTTGCTGCGGCGGGGGTATTTATTTTATTTTTACTTACTATTTTATTTTTCTAGGAGCACTCATGCCCCCCTAAAATCCTTACAAACCCCCCAGTTTGAAAACCGCTGCCATACAGCTTGTACTAAGTTTATAAATTATGATTACAGCCCAAAGAAGTCTTTTGGGCGCGCCCAAAAAACTGGTCAAGTTAAGGTGAGGGGGTTGGCAGTGGGTACTTTTGTGAAAACATTTGTCTTGCTACTCAGCGTGACTTACTGACCCCCAGCAACTGGCTCCCATAGGCTGCGTTTACATTGGAAGCACGCTTGGGCAAGTTAAATGGTGGCGCACGCTTGTGCAAGCGTGCAGTTGCCGATGGTGTGGTTATACTAGAGCAGAGCAACCAAGAACAAGTGGTAGCCCCCACTAGTCACAGTAGGCCTACATCACAGATCAGTCAAAATTGAGATGTCAAATGATGCGGACATTGTGCTTGAAAATGGAGTTAAATTTGTATTATTAGACTCCGAACGTGTTGGGGGAACGGGAAACTGTAGAAGTTGATGTTATGTTTGTATAATTAATTATTTTATAAAAAAAACATAACTATACCGACTAAAACAAAATATATTTAATAAGCCTAGATGAGCTTAAAATTTTATCATAGCATTATTACAGGTCTATTTTGATAGAAAAATAAAATTCAATATATTTTGATTAACAAGTTAAAATTAATTTGCAAATAGCGTACAGCAATGATAATGCTGTAACTATAAAATAGTTATAAAAAAAAACTGTATCAATCAACGCCTCGGTATCCATTTTAAACAATTAAACAACTTATAACAACAATTAAATGTAAAAAACTACAGTTTTCAGATACACAGCCTATGCTACTTTGTCTGTGAACCACAACAAACTGAGGCACGCTTGCTTCAAAAACAAATTTATTTGTTTCGTGATTTGAGAAGCGCAAGCTTTCCCCAGCGTGCGCTTGCTAGTGGTGAGCACTGTAACCATGACTGGTCAAGTCGCCACAGGTTTCCATTAATCTGCTACAATTTTGTTTCAAGGGGCAAGCTTGGCCAAGCGTGCGCCACCATTTTACTTGCCCAAGCGTGCCTCCAATGTAAACGCAGCCATACGTTTTAGTTTGGCTAGAAGCGACTCATCCGTGTGCACTAAAGTTTTGACGGAATTGTAAGCGTGAGGGGATGAACTATTAATTTTATTAGCAAAGGTGGAATGTACTAAGAAAATCACAAGCTATTTTAGAGTGGTATGATAGCCTTTTTGCCGCCCGTCTGTGCTCGGAAAGTGCTTGGCAGGTTTTTGCCACATCCACTTTCATTCTGATTGGTTTAGTGTGCTGCATACACTATTTGTCAACCCAGCTTGTGACATCTAAGCTGGCACTTGGCCTAGCACAGGCAGTGTAGGCGGGAGAAGGGTGGAGGTAGGGAAAAGCACTGCAAACATTTCCACTGCCTCACGGTTTTGACTCCCCTTGTTTTATGTACTTGAGCGCCTTCATATGGGTCGCGAGGACAGTTGCTGCAACCCATATGACTGGACATAATGATTTGAACTAGATACTAGTAGCGATCGGCCAAGTGCTTAAATGTCACGAGCTGTACCTGCATACATCTCCGCTACTCATGTCTATTGCAGTTTGCAGAGCGAAGCAACTGTGGCTTGGTGAACAAGTACTGTTTTGTCTTATATTTCTAAGTTAGGCCCTACAGCAGTGGTGGGTTTACTTTTTAACTAAAAGTGGTTTAAAATACCTGTGTTATCGGTAATCCAATTGGTTGCTGTGGCAACTAGATTCGGCTCGCAATGGAGCCATAACGTTTACTGTTATACGTCTACTGCCCAGCCATATGCTGTGCGAAGCCATAAATGTGTAACGACATAAATTTTAATTTTGTTAGATGATACAAAATACGTAGATGAATAATAACCTCCCTTAAGTCAAAATTTGACATAAGTGGTTACAATGGTTTTCTGTTGACCACACAGCTGAAAAATATGACAAAATAGAAAACACTGTATAAAGAGATGGTTAAATGTTTTTCCATTTATTTTATTTCCCGAAATTGGAAAAGGAGGAATAGGAGGCTGAACGCTTCAAAATAGGCAAACAAATTAATAAGAACAAAAAAGCAATTTGAATTAAAAGCTTAAGTTTATTATTTCCTACACATATACAGAAACCTGCTAGTACACAAATAATACTCCTGACTTATATTTCTTACATAAAATTTTTTATTACTCAACATGATCTAATCTTTTGTGCCTATTGATAACATATAGAGTTTAAGAGATCATATGAAATATTAAATCTACTTTGCAGAATCTTAAACATTAGATGATAATACAGTAGTCTGATATTATTTACACGGTTATCAATACATGGCAAAAATTAAATATGAGTTAGTAAACAGGAATACAATGTAAAAGGAAAAAGTACTAAGGAACCTCTAAATTATCTTCGTACAACTTCTACAAAGAAACCTAAACAATTAAATAAACACGATAAACCTTCCTAATAAAACCAATCATGATCAAGTTAGATTCGAATAGTCATCAAAACTTGAGGAAATAAGTTAATTGATCATAGACAAAACTGAAATTGTTTCACGAAAGGTGATGTTTTTTTAGCACCACAAAAATATCAAATAAATTATTCCACAATAACTAAACAAAACGGTATTTTAAATTAATGTTAAATATCACACACTTCATTCTCTGTACAGTTAAAATAATCCATATAGTACAATGATTGAGTCAGTCAGGTATATTAAACTCCTTACATAA